AGCTATCGAAACGTCAAGGTAATTTTTCAAATAAATTTCTCTACTAATTGGAATTTTCTCTTACAGCTTGAGCCTAAGTGTGTCGCAGGATAACCTCTAGCTGATAGTTCTTGATTAGTTTTTGATAAATAATTCGTTCTTATTGCGAAATAGGAGCACTATTTATCAATCTGTAGTAAAAAACGTGTGGAAATTCTGTCTTTTTTAAAGACAAAAATTTTGTGGCGAAATATCCAAAAAAAAGTTTGTAAAAAAATAAACTGAAAATGTTTTGGCGTTGGTTTCAGTGGGGCGTCCCAGCAAACCTGCTCAGTTCAGGACGAAGAAAACACTTACATCCCTCAGCTTTTCTTGCGCATTGAAAATCTCCAAAGCGGGAGTTTGCTTTAGAATCTCCAAAGCTTCTTCCTCAGTGCCGGCCTTTTTCCCTAACAGTTCCACAATATACCGGGCGTTGTTCTTCGAACCCCAGAACCAGTAGTTCAAGGCGGTTCCGCTCTGTAAAATGGCCTTATGGAAGAGGCCTTTGGAGGCGGGCGAAAGCACATGGGCGTGAACTGCCGCCGATCCAGCACTTTCCCCAAATATCGTCACATTGTTGGGGTCCCCATTGAAGCTGGAAATGTTGCGTTGCACCCATTTGAGCGCGAGATTTTGGTCTTTCAGTCCCATGTTTCCAGTCACGTCGGTGCCGTCGATGCTGAGGAAACCTGCACATTTTCCATTGGGGGTTTATAAGGGAAGGCGCATTTTAGCCGAATATTCACCCAATATTCCCAGACGGTAATTGATGGTCACCAGGACCACATCTTTGGTCATTAGGAACTTCGGGCCATGAATTCCCGGTCTACTCGAACCAAATACGAAGCCGCCTCCGTGAATGTAAAACATCACTGGGCGAAGCTTGGATGAGTTCCCTGGAAGCTTTGTTGGGACTTGAAAAAATGAGCGGAAGATGCCTGCGCTGGAATACCTGTTGTGTATAGACGTTCAAATATAAGCAATCTTCGTCCCCTTCGATTTTAGACGTCATTTCCTCTCTGGATATGGAGCTCTTGCCAATATTCGTGGCTTCCTTGACGCCTTCCCAATGATCCACTGGCTGGGGCGGCTAAGAATGGGGAAAACAAATATCATCAGTTTGCAAATAACAAACTCAAGAAAAATCCTGGAAGCTGCTGAAAATTGCACCTTTAAAAAACAATCAACAGTCCACTTATGTCGAGAGGAAATATACAATCTATTGGGACAATGCATGATGAATTGCAAAAATGTTATCTTCACTGGGCATCATTACATGACATGTAATTGAACGAATTGAGAAAACTCAATGTTCACTGATAAGGCACTTGATAGTAATTTAAAGCCTTGAAAATACTAAAGCAAATACGGGGTTATTCACGCTATTGATGAATACATTTGATGAAATACAGAGTGTCCCAAAAGCCCTAAAAGTATCAAAGTTGTGTTTTTTTAAATGAAATGCCCTATATATTATTGCATTTTTGGATTCTCTGAGCAGAATAAGTGTTTGTTTTAATAAGATTTATAATGTCTAAATCTAAAGGTTTTTTAAATAATTCGAATTTTATCAAAATCTAATAGTATTTTCATGTGTCAAATACTTTAGAATTATTTAAGTTATGTAAA